GTCACTATAGTCTCATCTTTACATGGATACAAAGCGGTGGAGAGAAAACCCTACGTCGGTGATTCCCAGTGATACTTTTACACACACACACACTTTTCCAGGCCTCAATTTTTGGTTCACCTTCTGTGTCACTTACATTCAACGACCTTCAACTGCACTCAACGATATATATTTCATAATGAGTAATATCTAAGTAACTCGAAATGATTTTCTTGGAAGTACCTGACCACTTGCCACTCGTTAGGCATGCGTATCTCATAATACGTTTTCACTTCAAACATAAACCTGTACCCAGGATGTGTATTTCCGTCACAATAACCTCACTTGTAACACCGTTGTTTTCGGGCAGTTCGAAAGAGCTCTGTTCCCACGCTTGCAATCAGCGTGCGTTCGGCTCTACACGGAGTACGCTGTTCAAGTATGGAATCCATGGTTGAACCGCCACAAGAAGGCTCTAGAATGTTCGCAAAGACTGGCAACGAAGCTGGCAAAAGGTTGTATAGCAAGACATACTGCGAAAGACTGTAAATATTAGGACTCTAATCATCTCAAACCGCCGACTTCGGAGGGGGGGACCTAATCTTGGCATATCACAAAGTGTATCAACCCAAACACCTTTTCCTTTCTATGCTGACTTTATCTCATAGTGATCACCTCAGGGGAGATCCACTAAAGGTGAAGACCCAGAACAGCCACCTTAATTGCCGGCATCACTCGTTTGCAGTCAGAGTGTGCGGCATATGGAACTCACTTCCATCCGATGTAGTGTAGGCTTCCACAGTCGAACTATTTAAATCGCAACTTGATAAAGCATTGGAACACCTGAAATCTCGACATTCGTGAGTGATCATGCCAATTGTTGTAATTATTATTTTCTCTTTGTGAAGTTATTCAAAGTATTCTGTAAAGATCCTACGGTGCATGATATGCTTTAGTTTTGTTAAATCGCCCATAATAAAATTTTAACTTTGACTTTGACCACATAGTTGTGGATAGAGAACTCTTTCATAGCCAGTCCATTGATGAATCAATACTATGATTCTTTGTTTTATAAGAGGGTTAGATGCCACGAACCGAGACCAACGTGACTTGAGCGTTTTTATAGAATATTTCGTAATAGGTAGTACCTGAATTACCAGAATATATATACACCATGATAAGTAGCATGTGAATGAACGGACAAAATTTCCCTGGAAGCACGACCGACTTCGCGGTTCTTGCCGTTCGTCAAGTATGCGTATCCAGTGATCTTTTCAGTTCATTCATTCATACATATATATATATATAAATCTGTAATCGATTTCAAACAGAACCTAAATTATCTTCTCATTGAACTACACCGTTTATCGTGCATATTTGTATCGTAGATGACGGAAAGAGAACGCTGAAAAAGCAACACTCTTGCGTAAAACAAGAACAATACCGGAAGTAAAAGATAAGAGAAAAGTCATACCCAGGATTTCACTCTACAAAACGCGATCAAGTTATTGTGAAAATTCCACTTTCACCTGGTCAACGA